GACGGTGACCTGATCTGACTTAACCTTTGTGGGGGAACAGATATGGTCGGAATGGACTCCCCACGGTCTTAACGCTTAATTCCGTGCCCTCAATATAAGTCTGAGGTGTTGACGTATGTTCAAACTGCATTTATCGGAACGACCATTTTTGACCTTTCACCACCTCTGGTCACCTCACATTTGAAGCAAGGTAAAGCATTTGGTGTGCATTCTTCATGGCTTGACGATGAGACCTTCATAACGGCATCTTTGTTTTTTCATACAGCTCCGAAAGTTGGAGATACCAGGGGACAGACAACTGCCCCCCCCCCGGCAATGCGCGGATGTCTCGGGCCCCCTGCCAGGCGCAGATTTGAGACATCAAAGTCAGCATTTCTTAAATTTTTATCTTCTGCTTGGACAACTTTCTTGGATCAGCGTCCACGTTAAGGGGCATGTGTTGCATGAGCCGCACCACCACCACTCGGTCGTGTAGCTGGGTCGCCGGCAGAAGTGTGCGGCGAAAGTTGAGCGTGCCGCAACGTTTGGCACTGCTCGTCCTACCTCGAGAGTAGGCCCCGCTGACATGACCTGACGTTTAGCGCAACCACCGCTACCGGCCGCAGTCCGTGTCAGCCGGGGCTAAATCATGAGCGCATGAAGGGAACGGAAATCCTCACCGTACATGAGTCAGAACACATGCGCTCACCGACTGCGCTTGTACGAACTAAGGAAGGCAAGGTAAATAGCAGCTGCTATTTTTGCCAGCAAGCTTAAGCATTTGGAAAGAAACATTGGCACCTCCAGAATAACAAAACGACGCATTTGGCATGAAGAGCAAGACAACACAACATAATCCGATGACCAATTTGTGTGTTAAGATTGTGTCGGACTTCCATATCTTAATGGTGATTAGACAGCCACAATGAGGTCCTTGAATGCATTTGTTTTTACAGAAAAAAACCTTAGCAGCAATGAAATTCTACATCGCCACGAGCAGCCATGTATTTCAGCTGGCTGGAGCCATATATCATGTCCATCTCACGTCTTAGCATTCTGAGCAAGCCGGTGATGTTTTTCTATGCTTGATTTTCGGCCAGATGGTTCTGTACTACGCGTCGCAAAATGGTCCGACTTATTCAAAAACCCGGTGTGGCGTTATAACCATCCTTCGCAAAGGGAAGCCAGATGCTACCACGATCATACAAATGGATAATGTGCTTTTGTTATGCTTTGACGGTTTATATTTTGAGTATGTCGTTTTGTTATTCCGGAGGGACCAACGTTTTTCCTCAAATGCTGAACTTCGCCCGCCAAGACAACAACTGACAGTTCACTTCCCTTCGCTTCCGTATTTGTTCCCAATGCGTAGGCTGGTTAAATGAGTTGCCTCGGTTGGTTAGAGAGTCTGCATTTCGATTCACCTACTGGTGACGGGAAAGGTTCGAGTCGCCTTATACGCTCAATTTTTAGCCCTGGCTAGCGTGGCTGCGGCCGGTAGCAGCGTGTGCGGCAAAGATCAGGTGACGTTGGAGGGCTCATAGCCTCTGAGAAGCATGTGCAGTGCCAAGCGTTGCGGCATATTAAGCTTTGGCCGCGAAATTATACCGATGACCCGAAGTTTCAGGATTTCATGGTGGGGTCTGGATTCCCGCAACGAACTCCAGTTAGCGTAGGCGCTAGCCCCAGGCATTTATCCGATCAAAAGGCTGCTACTAGACCTTCAAAGAATCATATGGCGCAGCGATTCCTTGGTTTCTTTTTTGAATATCTTGCAAAATTGGGGCCACATGCCGATGCATGCTACCACCAAGCTGCCTGACATGCAACAAAGCCAATCGCATGACAGTCTGTTTAGCTCACTTTGATTCCGGTCGAGCTTCAACACCACATCGTCTAACGAATGGGCCGGCCATCAAACTCTGCCTCTGACCTGTCTGCTGACAGTGGCATGCGCTTGGGTCAGGACTGTTAAGCACCTCGTAAAAATATTTCACATCCATGATCATGATCACATAGGTCATGTCAAGACTTAATATGCTACGACACATTTGACCGCATTTCATGGCCTCAATTTAGTAAAAACAAAATCCTGTCGGCCCTTGACGTCGTGGTACGAAAAAACGTGCATCGTGCATAGACTGGACCACCAGGTCCCGTTTCAGTGCCCGGACTGCACCAGAGGCTGGCGCTGCCGCTGAACTACCATATACATCAGCACATCAACTTTGGATGCGTATTGTCAAACGAACCTTGACGGAACTTTTGAGCACGCACTTCGTCATGAGAACTTCACCCCTCAAGAAAAAGTTGCGTTTTAACAACTGTGTACGACCGTTCTCGGTACGAGCTTGGCGCGTTTGACCATTTTCCCTAACATTTTACCATACGAGCATCATCTCCTTCGTCCTTTTTAAATCAAGAGCTTTTGATATCATGAACTTTCAAGCGTGGGTGCTTTATTCATTCGAAGTTCAGGCATACAAATTTTATCCTTCGAACTATTGGCATACCAGCAATGTCTTTCCTCAGCTTTGACGCAGCACAGAAATTGCCATATCTTACCAAAATATAAAAAACAAATATCAGTCGTTCGTAAGCATTCGGTAAACACAAAGCTGGTCCGCTGCTACCGACTTACTACGCTATGGCGTCAGGTGCGCCAGGTGTTGGTGTGCTGCCTCCACCGACGGCCGCGGCGTCGCGTATGGAGTTTTCTGTGACGTCATCTACTCTGGCCTCGGTTGCGCCACCTCTACCGCCGGCCATGACCCCCCCCCCTCCCCTCCTCTGAGAACAGAGGCAGTACTTGCGGAGCTGGTCACGGCTCAGTCGTGCCTACTGTACCTACCGCAGCTCCACCTCCTCCGCAAACAGGAGCACTACCTGCGGAGCTGGCTGCAGCTCCAGCCGTACCTACCGTACCTATCGCGGCCCTGAGTCCGGCGAACGCGGCCGTTCTGCCTGGTCTGCCGCTCGTGATACCATTATGTCCGGGATCGCTATCGTGATAATCTTCGCCGTGTTATTGCGCTGGCATTCGCCTCTCAGGAGATTAGCCGGAGGACTACCCACATTCTGACTGACCCGTCAATCCGCCGCCAGCGTCGATTCGCATCCACATTGTTCACACATGCAGCGTTCACACACACACACATGTTCCTATTTTTGCAAATGTCTGCCATGGATTGAAATGCACCTCGTGCTCGCGTCCAAGCCCGGGCGGGAGATCCTTCGCCAGCGTGATGTTGTGTGCGCCGCTAACGCGCACGACGCAGGAAAGTCGGTCTGCCTCCGCCTACGCGGCCCCGTTCAATGATGAACGGACATCGGAGAGCCGGGGGCAACAGCGAAGGACAAATCTCCTCAGCGGCTGAGCAGCTGAGGACAGCTATCACGGCGGGACGGCCTGCCGAAAACGTGGCCTGCCGGAGGTCTTAGCGTCAATCCTGAACTACCGAGGCGAGACACGACGGCATCTTTGCGAGAGGGACCGTGTCAACGTCGCTAAGACAATGAGGAAGAAGGTGAGGATCGACCTAAGCGCGGCGTGCTCTGGTGCAATCTTTAACGCACGCAGCCCGCGACCCGACCTTCTGGCCTGGCATGCCAGGACAGTAGGAAATATCTGGAAGTATGCGACACGTGCTCCAGAGCAAAAAAAGAACATTACCAGAGCCCATCCACGCTCATTAAGTACCAGGTCGTCCGCGAAGGATTATAGGGGCTGCAGTCTACTACATAAATGACGAAGCTCCCTTATGATAACTGATCATTCCAGTCGGTTCACAGAATCTGACTTTCTGAACGAGCTTTATGTCAGAAGGCCTTCGGCTCCTGGTTTCTCGGCATGAGTTCAGTTATTTTCCTGAGTTATCGACCTCCAGTATATCAGGAGGTACTGGTTAAACCACGCGCAGGTGCAAACATATACCGAGTGTGAGTGGAAAGGATGTGCGTGTCATGGCCCTGATGTTTGTTTCGTTTAACCTTGCTCTGTCCTTTCCATCTGTGATCATAAGCCCAGCTTGAAGCGTTGGTTACTGTCAATGCAACCAATGTTCGCGCATCATAGCATCGTTTAACCAGCACCTGAATGAAACCGCGCCACAGACTGGTCAGCAAGCTGAAGTCGTGTTCGCCAGACGTGTCATTACTCATAGAGGAGTGAGCGACTGCGGCCCAGTTATCAAAAGGCCACTTCTGGCCAGGCAGCTCTCCCAACGGCTATCAAGCCCACAGGGATAACGGTGCGGCGAGAGCTGCCGTGAACAGCATGAGAATGAGATGATGCTATACGGCACGTGGATGACCCCAGCTAGGTCAGAGTGGCGGACACATTACCGTACCAAAGGCCAAGACATCGCTATATCAGAAACATGCCACAGGAGTGCGAGCGAGACCAGCACAGCACCTGGCAAACCGCCGCACCATCTCCATGGTCCCAGCGTCCAGCTTACTCCTGCAGCCCAAGCAGAGCGCGCGCCCAAAAAACACAAACTGGAGACCACGACCGCCAGAGCTGGAAGATACGATAGACCCATGGTATTCGAGCCTGTGAACGTAGGTAAATGCGTCTGCTGGCAGTCCATTGCTAAGTCCAGCCAGACTTGGCAGACGGCTGTGGTCCCACAGAGCGTGAAGCCAGAGTAAAAAGCTCAGGTAGAGTTATGAGGTAGGGGACGAGTAGTTCAGGAAAATGCAATTGATTGTGCCGTCTTCCGCAGACACAGACAGCTGCCCTGCGTAACCCGACGGTCTGACCATGGCAAAGTCTTGCCGACACCGAGGAGAGAGCCGGCCCCTGCCGACCGACGAGAGCACGGAAGTCACTCGACCGCTCGTGCTCCAATGAAACTTAACCGCTGTCTCCAAAGGGGCCGGTACTACGTGTGATCACATGTTACCTGTGTTTTGAACCTTGCTTGTCCTTGGAAGTTCTGCTTGCCTTGACGGGAGCGTCTACTATGCAGATACCTCACAAGCTTACCCTCCTCCGAAAAATACAGCTCTTCTAGCGGTTCGTCACACGCACGTTTATTTGCCACTGAGAACAAAGCAGTCATGGCTCACGACATAACCAATACGACGCAGAGATGCGCGTGGACCGCTGTGCATGTAATGAGCATTAAGGGCACGTTACAATGGCTCCTTGTTCACATGGTTACTTACTTGTCAATTTCTCCCAGGCAAGTAAACAGGCCGAAATAGTAAGTCGAGGTGAAACACCACGTAAAACACAGGGCAAATAACGTGGCCGACAAAACAAAAAAAAACACCGGACACATTCATGCATGCTGTCATTCAACACATTCATTCATGCTTACAAAAGTTGGGGTATCAAAGTGCCAAGATTTGAGCTGTTTTTCTTCTTGGCCATAATGGACAGAAGCTGGCTTAGAAGTTCTAGCCGCCGCTCCTCCATTGCCACACTTTTTTCTACCATAGCAATCCTTCTCTCATCAATCTCGCACTGTCGCTCGTCCAGAGATAGCCGTTGCCGTTCTATTTCGATCCTCTGTGCGAAATAGCTGCTCATATCGACGTTCTCTCCCTGTTTTCGATCTGGTCGAGCCTGAGCGGTCTGGTCCGATCCTCGCCACAGGTCAGGGCGATTCGGGGCACTCTGGTTTGATAGAATGAAACGCGTCGACGACGCATCCAAATTTTGTCCTATGATCCGCTCCATCGCTTCAAAATGATCCCAATGGTTCAGAGCATCCCCGCCCGTCCTGGCGGCTTGGTCCTTCAGCCTCTTGTAAGTTTGGCACAATAAGTTCCATTTGATGCGGGCGTCGTCCGCACTGACGCCGAGCTCCTGGGCAATGTTGAGCCAAAAGTCTATCCGCTTCTGTCCTGGGAGCGTGTTGACCAGCACCCGGTACTGATTAACCATAATCTTGAGAAAACTTTCCACCTTTTCGACAGGCCATACAATGCCATCGGCGACGGGATCGCACGGAGTGCGGCTTTCGAACACCTGGTTGTCACGACTCACAGAGTCGTCGCTGTCCGTGACGCTGTCCTGGTCGTATGGCGGCTCCAAAGCTCCGGCGCCCCCACGCGACCGAATGAGGCGCTTCGATGTCATTCGAGGATTGTACGCTAAGATCCGGTCCATCGTTGCGAAGTGATCCCACCGGCTACACTTGCGAGCACCTTTCGGTCGCTTGCTGGCCTTCTCTTTTATCCTCCTGTAGCTCTGAACTAAGGCGTTCCATTTTATGCGGGCCTGGTCCGCGCCCACGCCAAGCTCCCGGTCTATTTTGATCCAAAAGGGCCCCTTCTGTCTCGGATACGTGTTCACGAGCGCCCGATATCGATCTTCCATAAGTGTGAGAAGTTTATCAACTTTCTCGAATGACCATACCGAGAATCTGGCCCCCGTATTACACAACGGAGTATGGCTATTGAGTGCTTCCAAGTTGACAAACGAGGCACCACAAGAATGACACGTAAAGGCCATTTCCAATGAAAAGATACACCTAGCGGGTACGCCGCAGGTTAGTTCTTTTCTTGCATAAATGATGGTTGCTAAACTTGCTCAAACGAAGATCCTGCGAAGAAAAAATATGTAAATGAAACCAGATCCGAGCCTATGCTCGCTCGAGCTCCGAACATTGCCATACCTTATATCTATGGAAGCCTAACATGCACAAATGCGGTCACGGCTCGGAGCAAGTGTCAGCTGGCCAGGTGGCATTCGATGTGCACTTAAGCCAACGGGGTTAATCCCTGTGTTTGATGTGAGACTGGATCCGGCCGGCCGGGCGCCGTCGGTGCATGCAAATGTGTCCTATTGTCTAAACGTGCGAGACGCGAAATTTGCAACTTGCACAAAAACCACAGGACCGCGCGAAGAAGCCAAGTTCATACCCGGCAACGGTCGTCAGAGTGAAACGTGATCAGAACCACCGATCGCAACAGAACGGCAAAAGTGGGAATCGACGCGCACAGTCACGCCAGTGTACTCGTGTGCGCAAACAACAGATTCGACGGTTTTGAAGCGTTTTCAGAATGCGTGCTAGATCTCAACAATCCGAGCAGATGACGCTGAATTGATCAGATGACGCATGCTAGATCTCGAAACGATTGATGACGGCGCAAGATCGACTGCACCGTGTAGGTGCTGTACCATCCACACTGACAAGCACCGCCAGACCCTTGATGACGTCAGCAACACACCAGGAAGCGAACAATGTCACGGTTCTAGAAAACTATCAGGAATACACAACACCAGTGCCTACATCGAGCAAGCCGGGGCAGCGCACTGGGCCAGATCGCGTCAGCTACCACTTAAATCCCATAGATGAACTTCAATTGTTACGTGTTCTAAACATTGTTCATGAAGTGAAAAGATCAATAAAAGGTGCATTCGAGGTTACTTTTTTGTTTTTGTTTTGTTTCCGAGAACAGCATGCCGGTGATAATATTCCTAACGTCAGCCCACACCGTTACTTCAAAAACGAGTTTGAAAGTGTTTTACATTTGAAGATATTGAAGCGAGCAGCAGATAAGTCGAAATTAGCTCACTTATAACTATTAGTATACCTTTTAGTGGAAAAAACTGCCCAAGACAACACAGTTTCTCTATTTTGTAGCTATGCTCCTCACTGCGAACTGTTCGATTGTGTCATTGTACCTTGTACAACATCGATGGAGAACCAACTGACGGCCATTTTATTGGCCTTGATCGTCACATGGCCAATGAAATAGGAGGATTTGAATGGCATTGTTATGACATTATGGATAGTTGGGTGACCATCAAATATTCTGCATCTCTCCACCAGCCTGAAGCTCAGAAATTAGAGAAGTTTGTCTTAAGAAGGGCAGGACTGTGAACCACACTGCATAATCTTCAATATGGCCATTTCAGTTAAAACTGATTACAAGTGGGGAACACTCCCTTTAACCATTATCCGATGAAGAGCTCACCTGGGGTATGTTGGTGGTATAAACCACCGCCTGAAGAAGCACTCACACGGTGACCCGAAACCTCACGGAGAAAACTATGCTTCTTCTTAAAACCACCGGAAAACGCCACATGAACACAGTATGTGAGGAACCATTAGCATTTGAGCTAACTGAGCTTACTTGTAATTGTTTGACCTTTCAGCCATTGACAGGTTGCGGAGTTCGCAATTTTCTATTAGAGCCAGCACTGTACCAGTGTTTATCAAAACCAGTCACAAAGGGTAAGGCTAAATGACAGCTGTCGGTTGACGCTAGCTCGTAATTCTTCCCTTGAATCTTTATCTGATTTTTCATCAAACGCGGCCACAAACGGGTATGACTACAGCCAGGGATGGGTATGACTACAGCCAGGGATGTCACTTTCTATACTTTCAGGTAGAGGAAGGGGGGGGGATTGAGGTTGAAACCCCCTACCTGAAAGCTCTCAATGCCTATGAGCAAACAGTGAAAACTAAGCCAAGTGTCCTATTTGCACCAAATAGTTTTTACACCTGTAAACACCTCACCTGTCTGTCATGCCAGCTCCTTTATATGTTAGGCCAGTCTGCCAATGTGTGACAACCTTTCATGTGATGGCATTTACATTGGTATGAATAATAATTGACCACAATATGCCACAGCTTTCAAAAGTAAAGGATGGCTCAGATAAGTTAACATGGGGCATAGTTCCCCAAAATGAGATGAGAAGTGAGCAATGGGAAATGATACAACATGCACCTTCAAATGCTTTAATGCACTGATTTTTCCCAACTTTGGCTTACTTCCTTCTCAAAGTTGAAGGGGGGCTAGAGCACATGTTGGGCAGGGGAGAGGAGCTCCTACTTACTGCAAAAAAACTACGCCCCTGAAGTTAGCCCATGTTTCTCTCAATGGTGATAAACATAGCCACACTGTATTTGACTACCAACAGAGTGACAAAATGAAACCAGGGACTACCAACTGAATTGCAAAACAAAACCTGGGAGGGCAGAAGTCCTTAGAGATTCCACACCTATCAAATCATGACAAAAATGCTCCAGATAGGTACCTGGCATACCCGGATGTACATTTGAACCCACTGCATGGAGTTGACTCTTTGCTGTGATGCATCCCATCTTATGCCTGAAGGTGGCCAACTGCTTATACCATGAAAATGGTGCCAAAAATGAAATAAACATGCTTAGTGTGGCATATTCCAAAGTGAACAAAATGTTGGGCAGTGTTGATTGTCTTTTGCAAAGAAATATGACCATCAGCACACCTTCTAATCATTAAGTTTCCCCAATGCAACTAATGTGTCTCTATTACCACACCTAAACAATACCTGCTGGTATATTGAAGGCTAATTATTTTTGGCATTGAAACTCCAAACTCTTGACTAAACTCTCCACTGTCTCCACTTGCCAGTTAGTGACAATTTTGTTAAAAAGACTGTACAAGTGTCATTTGACCCTTCCATAAGGACAAAGTACATACATTGGAACACATGTATAGGTACAGAGTGTATTTTGGCACATCAGGATGTTGTCAAATCTTTATTAGATTATTAGATTATTAATAAACAACCCAGATCTAATCATACATGTATCACCAACAGTACTGGTAGCCAGGTAAAAAAACATGCCAATGACTTGTGTTCTGAGTATGGAATCACGAGGATGGGAAGAGGTGATGACAAATATAGACATGTGAGCTTTGCTGCCAATTTCTGGTTGCACATGGCACTTGTTAAAGCATGTATAATACCATGAATTGGTCTCCATTTTAATACAAAACTAGCAGTAAAGCCTGTGTGGGCACAACACTGATGCAGAGGAATGCAATAGACCAAGTGACTGAGCAGGGAAAAAGGCTTAATTTACACCCAAAATGCACAAAAAAATGATTTTTTCTCTGAATTTGACCCACTTTCTTCCTAAAGCAGGGAAAGGTGGCCAAAACACCGTCTCAAACTGGAAATGTGACTACTGCCCTTAGTACTTAGCACTGGTAGCCACTGATAACCCATGTCCGCTTATCAGTGTTCTTTACCTTCCGGCCGACAATGTTTGCGGAGGGAAGAGCGTCGGCTTAGGTCTGTAATGAGGGCCGGCTAATCAGCTGACGAAACGTCGCTGCCAGGCTGCGTAAATCATCTCAATGAAAAGTATTGTACTACTCATGACGTCACTGGTAGAAGTGTAAAAAACGAACTTCTTTTACTTCTCACAATATCACAAGGATTCACGAGCCACTTATGATGGCAACATTGAAAACCAGGCGGGTATTCGTAATAACACGTGTCCTTCATCCCACTGATGACGTCACTGGTACGAATGAATCGGTCATCAGTTGAAAACTATCAGTGGGACACGTTTTTCGGGCTGTATTTTCCCGCTGCTCACGACGTTCCGGGAGATTGCTATGGTGTACGTGCATCTACCTATGTACTCGTGGTTTACATTATTGTGCCATTTGAAACTAAATGAAGAAAAAATAGGCTGCGTTTACCTTCTGCTCATGACGTCACGTGTCACGAGTTATGGTCTTCGTTTCGTATCACTGGAACCTGATAATGGCAGAAAACCACCTTTCCCAGCAGACTTTCTCAAGAAACTACTGCAAGAAAGTCCAAGTAATCCATGAACAAACCGCATTCAGGCATGTCCACACTCAGCTACCAATGGGGCCGGAAAAAGACATGAACTGGCTCAACGTTTTCGGTTACCGGCATTATCGGTCTTCAACAAACATTCCAAAATAGTGTCCATCGGTGCAACCAGTAGTGGACATCATTTTGACATGGTTTAGACGGCAATGGTTCCTCCTAGACTTGAAACGCGGGTTCCGTGAGTGTTATGGCACCCTCACCATTAGACACTCTGAGAATGTATGTAGAGCATTCACGTTATGACAATGGATGGGAAGAATCGACTACAGTATGACTATGAGCTCCCTTACTTTCTGAGACGTTCCTCCGTCCATGTTTCGGGTGCCAACGCCAGATTTTGTATTACATTTGCAGCCCAATTCTTTAATTTACCTTCCGGCCGTCTGCTATGAACTCTCCAATTGCAATGCGTGGTGTTGCTTTGCCGCGTTTGGAAACGACTGCAAAGTGTTTGAAATTATTCCCGAACAAAATGTCTTTTAGGTGAGTCCACTTCGAGTCAATTGTATGGCCGTTGATGCGCATAATCGTAATTTTTACCTTTTGGGCCGTCAGCGTTATACACCCATTTCAAACGTGCCAATTTACTTTCAATCGATGCAACTATCAGCGACACCATTTTAAGAAAGTGTTTGATATGGACAGACCATGCTGTCGGCCGATACGCAAAGAGCTGTGTTTTAAGCCTATCACCGGCCCTATTGGTAACTCTTGTTACATCGTGTGCTGGTTTAAATAAGTACGCTTTTCCACGTGTCATGTGTGACCATTGGACTTTATTCTTCAGGTAAAGGTACCTTTCATGGCATACACATTTAGCCGCATGCACACCGTGTTTCTCGCTCACAGGCGTGTGGGTATTGTTCAGGCCTGAACGCAAGCCCTGGCTATGTGCCCAGTAGGCCGTGGTGCTGCCCGTGAAAAGCTAACCGAGGCTAGAATATTTGAGATGCCCTTTTTAAACAGCTTTAGAATGATGTCAGCTGGTCGTTGCACCGATGGAAGCTATATTGACACGTTTGAAATGGACAAATGATACTGGCGGCCGAAACGTAAAGAGTTCGCTTTACGCCTAGCATCGGCCCTGTTGGTAACTCCGAGTGGGTACGCCCGAATGACATTTTGTTCATGAAGGATGGGTCCACCGTCTCCATGATGATAGCGGAATTGTATGCATGGTTTTGAAATGATGTTGCTAGTGATATCATCGATTTAAACTATGCTGGCATGTTTGAAATGGCCAGACAATGGTAGCTGCCGAAGCGTGAAGAGTTCGCTTATGTTTATCAACGGTCACTATTGGTAACATCGAGTGGACAGATTTCAATGCAAGTTTTTCACGAATCATTTGGATTTCCAGTACTTTCTAAGTGTAGCAAAGTTAGGTCATGGAGTCGAATTGGGCATTTTATGGCCGGCGGTCGCAATGGAAATGAGTATTGGTTCAAAATGGTGATTTGGCGACGGGCGCTACCAGTCGGAAGTGGACTTCCTTATTCATTTTCTTGTACTGACGTAGCATTTTCTCCGTTTTGTAATGTGTGACCAACGCGTTTTATGGTATATACACATAACCGCATACAAGCCTTGTATCAGGCTTGCAAGCGGTTAGGTATTGCGTTGGCCTTAACGCACGCTGTGGCTTTGTGCCCAACAGGTCATGGTGGGCCCCGAGGAATAATCCATCGCGGCTACAATGCTTTCAGGGTCCTGACCATGATACATGAATGTTCAGATGAACACACGTTCTATGGTACACTGTAAAGCGAAAACAAGCGAGTTTCGGCTGGCAGGCTGTTAGGTGTTTCGTCGGACGACTGGGCACATGGCACGCTGCTCCTATTTGCTCAGTTAGCAGCAGCGCTGGTCCCCGGGAATAACCCGCCAATAAGAATATATGAATTGCCATTCAGACAGTTTTGGAATAGTGTCGGCAAGTGATTTCATTAATGGAAGCTAAACTGACACGCTTGAAATCGGCAGATAATGCTGACGGCTGAATCGCAGAGTCAGCTCACACCTATCACCGGCCACATTGTTAACTCTGCTTCTCTTGTGGGCTCGTTGGGATGTGTGCTTTGTTTCAACATGTCATATGTGACCGTTGCACTTGATTTTTCAGGTAAACATACCTTTCATGGTAAATACAGTTAGCAGCTGACACACCGTGTTTCACGCTCGAAGGCTCGTGTTGGTATTGCGTAGACCCTAACGCAGGCTCTGGTTATTTGACCTGGAGGCCGTGGTACTGTTTGTGAAAAGCTAACCGGAGCTAGAATATTTCAGATGTCATTTAAACAGCTTTATAATAATGTCCACTAGTCGCTGCACCGGTCGAAACTATACTGACACGTTTGAAATGGGTACATGGTGCTGGCGGCCGAAACGTAAAGAGTCCGTTCATGGCTATCGCCTATATGGCTATATTGGTAACTCGGAGTGGACTTAGCTCAATGACGTTGCGTCCAGGAATCATCTGGAGCACCTTGCAGTAGTTTATAAATGTGGAACAGCTATGCCATGCAGTGAAATTCGAGATTTCACATCAGACGGCCGGAAGATAAATGGAAGTGCTTGGCTGGAAAGGTAATATGTGGACTGGCGCTGCGTGCCGAGGGCTAGGCAGAGGAACGGCTCAAAAAAGGTGTCACCCATACTCATTTTGCATTTAATTTTTCATTGGTCGCCATGGGGTAAATGTCAAAAATTTTGGAAGGGGGGGGCGGAGTGCCATGAAACGTAGAGATCCCACGTTTGTACGTTAACAGCCCAAACGGCACAACGTGATTGATTTCCCCGTCCCAAATGTGATGGCTTCTTTCTCATGTCATGTGTGACTATTATGCTAGATTTTTAAAACAAAGACACGTTTCATGACATTCACATGTAGCTGCATGCGAACCTTGTGTCATGCTCACAGGTGGGTAGGTATTGCGTCGGCCTGAACGTACGCTGTGGGTTTGTGCCTAATAACCAGCATTTGTTTTCTGAACATTTATAAAATTATTTCATCATCATTTAACATCATTCAGAATTACGTGTTGTTAAGTGCATTAGCGAGGAACATTACTCACATAGATAAGACAGAGGATTGGCCTTATTCCTCGGAGAAAAACCTGGACAATGGGGATATAGTTCGGTTGATATTTCGGCAAGGTACTTTATCGAAGCGATAGCAGAAGTAACCTTCAAATAGTAATAACAATAGCAATTAAAAAACAAGAGCGGTAGCAAACTTCTGCTATTGTTTCAATAGAGACATGGTGCCGAAATTTCAACCGAACTATATCTCCATTGTCCTGGTTTTTCTGCGAGGAATAAGGTACTATTGTCTTATCAACATCATTCAACTCTACGGGTTAATGGCTTCCTATATCTGTATATGTTTGCGGTTCCTCACTGAATAATGAAACGCGCATGAATGTAATATATCATTAAAGCATGCAGTAATATATACATACATACATACATATATATATATATATATATATATATATATATATATATATATATATATATATATTACTTCAGCTTCAGATCGACGCAATTCTTAACCGCCTGCAAGTCTGCAACAACGCTTGAGAGCAGTTATGTGTGTACCATAAAGGGAGTGTTTCCCTAAAAAAAATCAAATATGGTTGTTGTACTTGACGTAGCAGAGAAAACAACAGACTTGGGACGTGGGAATCAATAAAAATGTGTTTTGTCCCAAAGGTTAATGAACGGCGGTTACATGGGTGTTGTCCCTCCCCCCCGAGAATGTTCAGCACGAATCGTTCGAGTACAAAATAAGTTTGGGCCACCCTCACCTTTCTGACACGTTTCTCCGGTCATGTGTCCGCTGCTAGCACAAGTCGATAAATCACTTTTCCAACTAAACGTCTTTGTAACCTTGCCAAACCTTACTCCGCCCGCAATGAAGTTCAAATTTCACTGCATGACCAAACTTTGCTGCACTTAAAAACTTTTGCAAATGGTTCCGAATGACTGAGGAACAGTTAAGTTCGCTCCGAAATATCATGACCGATGATGAGCATAGACTAACTTTTTGTGATTCGACCGTCAGCATTATCTGCCCGTTTCAAACGGGTCAGTATGGTTTCCTCCGATGCAATCATTCGAGGACACCATTTTAAAACTGTTTCGAGCTAAATTAAGTATATATATATATATATAT